AATGCTACCCACCTGGCTATTCCTGAATCTGGCCATGAGGTGGGTTTGACACTGCAGGGTTGGTGAACGATCTGAATCCAAGAAGAGCTACAGATGTTTTATCCTGAAATATGTGGGCCCTAAACTTTGTCCCTGCTTTATCCTTCTATAGTCAGAGCAAAGAGACAGCAAAAGCATTCTGTACCCCAACAACTGAATTAAGTCAGAAACATCTTCGGTTTTGTTTGGGAAGGAAAATTTCAGTGATAATTGAAGTGAAAGTCAGCCTCTGGCAAATTCATTTGTATAACTATTGAACCCAGCAGCGAAGAAAAAGGTTAACATGTTCAGATAATCCTTCAGGTCAAATGTAAATGATAGCTCTTACACTTTTACTTCTCCCTATATCTGGGCCCTGCAGTCTTTTCTGTCTTCCAATCTACAGGCCATTCACCTACAGTGGGTACCAGCCAATGTCCCCCTCATCATCCCCTGGATACAGCCTGTGCTTGGTTCCAATCAGCCTCCTCTTTGGGACCCTCTCAATACTACCTCTTGCCAGCAGGAAGCAGTTTCAGAAGCTAAGACCTTCGGCCCTTACCCCAAAAGAATTTGGGTCCCATTTGTTTGAGAGGGAATAATGGGAATGGGATCTGGACCCCAAATAGGAAAAGCCCTGGACTTTCCCAAATGGCCAAATCTCTGGCATTTGCCTGAGGTTATCATCCCATCAACTGCCCTTTCATTGTCTCCTGCCCAATCTCCCAATTCTCTGTTGCCCTCAACCTAGTTTAGCCTTCCGTTGTCTTACCTCCCTAAGGCCCCTGCCATTTCCTCCCCTTAATCCGATCTAGGCTCCTTTCTCCCTTGGCCATGTGGTCCAGGTGCCTGGTGTTCTGTTCACCCCAGCTTACTGGCCACTCCCATCCAGATCCCCCTTAGATCCCTCCTCCAGTCACCCCAGACTACTTGGCCACTCCTAGATCCCTCCCACAGTCTTTCTGTATATGAAGTCCATCTGGCCTCCACCAAGGGGCTCAGATTCTTAAATCTGGCCGGCTGGCATTAGCCATACAAATGCTTAGATGCCTTCAGAGTCTGGCCAATATGGCGGATTCTTTAAATCTCACCCACCCCCAATAGCTGTTCTAGTAAACCTTGTCTTTGGCTGAAATAAGGCTTGGGCGGAATTCATTCTGTCAGGACTCACCTGTCGTGATTTTGGGGTCCCAGCAACCCTAAACCTCCAAACCTCAACAATTCCAGGTCCAGCGCTCGATCCAGTGTACCATCCGATGCCTGCTAGGCCTATTTAGAACAGAGCTGAGTGTTCGGACTGATTTCCCCACTTGTAGGGGAATGGAATTGTCACTTCTGACCCACCGACAGGGCCTTCTTCCTACTCTGGGAGAGATTGGAGACCCTGGGCAGCTCTGAGCACCGGCCTCAATGGGAGTTTCTGAACCGGACCCCCTCTGAGCAGAAGGGACTTTTTCTTTCTTTGCTCTGGGGCAGGGATCGTCAACCTTTTTTCTATAAATGGCGAAAAAGTAAATTTGTGAACCAAGAGGCAAAAGTGAGCAGATTGTGTGGGTACGTATATAACTGGGTAGAAAATAAAGTTCCACAGATTTTTATTGATGACATTAGAATCTAATAATAATAATAGGACACCATTTTTGTTCCATAGGCCTACTAACGAGAGCAGAATTGGGGGATAACATTTCTGACTGAGCTTCACTTAGTGCTCCCCATCATCCGAACTGATTGCAAATGTCCGTCTATAGATGCTGATCAGCGTTCCGTCTGCGAGAATGTCTTTCCCACGGACGGTCGCTGCTCAACCCTGCTATCAGGGCGTGAGCACGGGATTTTCATAGAGCGGATACGCGGCTTGGAAGGCCCGTAGACAGTTCTGTTTCAGCCTTCTCCTGGCATTTGCTTTTGCTCAAGTCACTACGTTGCAGCTTAATCACTTCCGATGTGATTCCGATGTGTGGAGGTCCTCTGCTCCACGCTGAAATGGATCCTAAAAGTAGAAAGGCATTTTGTACTTTCACCGAGGATCTGGGAAATGCTGCTAGAACTCATCTGGGAGTAGGAGCGGGAGCTCAGAAACTAGACCCGCTGCAGATCTGGGGGAGAGTAGGGGTCTCGCTCCTTGTTCTAACCCGGGACAGCCCAGCGCAGGACGCGCACGGGAAGCTTGACTTGACATGCGATTTAAGAAACATTGTTTAGTCATTGAGTGGGTCGTACCAGAGGCTTGTTTCTTGCCTTCCGGTGTCGGGTTGAATTCAGTAAGAAAAAATATCAGGTCTTCAGGAGAAGCTAATTCCCAGAGCCATCAATTTTGGCTGGCGATAACAGTGGCGGAGGAAGGGTCAGAAGAATGTTCGTGTTGGCCTGAGCTCAAAAACTCACTTTTTTCCCTCTCCTTTTCTTGTCTCGATAACGGCATGCAATGGGAATCAGCTAAATGTCGCGGCAGAGCGATCTATGTGGCATCCGAAAGTTGCCGCGCTGTCACCGCGTCCCGGAGAGTTGAAGCGGGCCCAAGCACTGCGTCTGTTGCAACTTCTCAGCTCTGCCACGGCAGCGCTCAGCAGATGGTAGAGGCCGTGTTCCAATAAGACTATTTGTGGACACCGAAATTTGAATTTCAGATAATTTTCAAACGTCATGAGCTATTCTTCCCCCCCACACACAACCATTTAGAAATGTAAAAACCATTCTTAGCTTATGGCCAGACGAGTCCAAGGCAGCTAGGGTTAGCTCAGGGCAGTAGTTTGCCGGCCCCTGTCCCAAGCTAAAGTTAATGTTGAGGCCAGCTTTCAGAGTTGCTTGGAGGGTAAGCAGCTCCCTGGACTCTCCAGTCTCCCACCCAGGAAGCCGGGTAGAGGTGGGGCCCGAGGCAAGATTGCGGAGGAGGAGAAAAGCGTAGCTGTCCAGGTGAACCTCCCCGAAGTGCCTGTCTGACCAGGTCGTCCCCCTATTCAATCAAGGACAAATTTTTTATGCTTTGGAGTTTCAACACTGCTTTATTTTCTTTATGTATTGCTTATGTTTAAGCAGAATTGATAGGATTAGGCAACTGATTCATTGTATGGGGTGAGGCGAGGATGACTGAGGCAGACGTGGCTGAGGGGGTGGCGGTGCCCTGGGCAGCAGCAGGAATGTTTGGAAGGGGCAGAGTGGAGGGGAAGAGGGAGTCCTGCTTGGGACAGGGCGGGTGAGACGCCCAATTGGAAATGTCAAAAAGGCAGCGGGTGATGTGGTTCTGGGACACAGGAGGAAGAGATCTGGGCATCATCTGCATGGATCTAAGAGTAAAGAGTCAGGAGCTTCTGAGGGGGCGGACACTTCCTCAGCCCTGGAGGAGACACAGGCGGAACCCAGATGTCTCTTGCATCTTCCTTTCCTCAGTTAACTTATTTCTCCCTCGACTCCTCCACAAAAGGATCCTTGGCTTGGTTCTGGATGCAGTTTTCTTAGAGTGTCTTCCTGTCTTCAGCATCCTCCCTGGCTCCGAACTGCTGTGGCCCCTCCCTGGACCCCTGGGCTGGTCTTCTTGGTATATGTGACCCCCAAAGCACCAGGTAGGGTTTGTATTGTTGAGTCAGGTCAACAAGCATTTATTAAGCACCTACTGCGTGCAAGGCCCTGGAGATGCAAAGAAAAGCAAAAGACAGTCCTTGTCTCCAAGGAACTCACAATCTAATGGGCGGGGGGGGTAACATGTAAACAACCCAGTACAAACCAGACACTTCTAGGATAAATTTAAGGTTATCCCAGAGGAAAGCACTGGCCACAAGGGACACTGGGAGGGGCTTCTCGAAGAAGGTAGAATTTGAAAGAAGTCAGGAGGCAGCGTGAGGAGGCAAAGCATTCCAGGCATGGGGTAGAGCCAGTGCAAATATCTGGAGTCTGGAGATGCAGAGTCTTGTGTGAGGATCCAATGTCCCTGGATCGAAGAGTATATGTCAAGGAATGTGTAAGAAGACTGAGAAGATAAGAAGGGGCTTTGAGAGCCAAACAGGAAGGTCAGGAGCAGCCCCCCATGACATCTGATGGGGTCACGGTGCCACTGGAGATGAATGAATAAGGGAGGGTGGGCTGGGCCAAAGTCTGCTCCCGTGAGCAGCAGAGAAATCATGATAATTCTAGCCCCCACATCTAAGACCTTTCATGCTGACAGTTTGGTGGTGGTTTTTTTTTTTTAAAACATAGCTCTCATGAGGAGGAAGATGGGCGCCCATACCTCAGAGGGGCCAACTGATTTGCCCATTGTCAGACAGCTGGGATCACTGCCTCAGAACCAGGAGGGCATGATTCACTCAAGTGTCCACAGCTTTTGTGCCCCTCATGCCTGGAGGCACCTGGCCAGACCCAGTGGAAGAAGTTCCCCAGACCTCCACGGTCCCTTCCCATGTAGCCAGAGGAGGAGGGCTCCTCCTTCAGTGGGCAGGGGCCAGGGCAGATGATGTTTCTTTTGGGGTGAATCAGGGCCAGGGGGCTGCTCAGGGGATTCAGAACCAGTAGGGACCCTAGCAAACGATCTTCAGAGGAAGAAACTAAGGGAAGGGAAGGGATTTGTCTGAGGTCACGCTGTCCATAAGGCAGCCCACCTGGGCTTGAGCCCCCAACCCCGTCCCTTTTCCACTTGGTTCCTTGCCCTTTGTGATGAATGGGTCCAAGAAGGGCTGGCCGGTCTCTAGGCAGGGCCTCCCTAGACAGCAGGTGCTGTGTGTCCACTCGGTTCCAGCAGATGGTGCCAAAGTCTGGCCAGGTGTCCTCCCTTCTGGCCAGGCAGGGAGGCGGGCTGGAATCTGCTTCCCTCCCACCCTCGTCCCTCCCTATTGGGAGGGGTCTGATGGGCACATAAGTAGCAAAGGGCAGCCCGGGGGAGCCCAAGTGCTGACACCAGGGCTGCCCAGGGACCAGTGGAGGCTGAGCCCAACAGGAGGCACCTGGGGGTGGTTGGCAGCACCATCTGCAGTGGGGGCAAAGGATCACAGACATGACCATGAGGGCCTTCTGCAATGTCGTGGGGCTGCTCCTGTCCTTCCAGGCAGGTAAGTGACAGCCCTCCCAGCCCTCTGGAGCTCCAGACTGGCACCCAGAGGTGGATGGCAGCAGGCAGGAGAGACAACCTCAGACCTGGGGCACTCGGCCCAGGGTCGTATGGGACACCGTAGAAAAGTTGGGGTTTGGACCCAAACCTGGTCCTTGTTGCCTCAGCCTCAGCCACCAGCCAGGCACTGCAGAACCAATGCTGGCCCTTCCTTGGCCTGCCTGGGGACGGCTGAGCTCAGCTTGTCATCAGATATGACCCAGCAGGAGGAGACGAGGCAGAGGAAGGGCCTCAGAGCACCTGCCCCCAGTAGGGGAGAGCCTCTGAGGGGCAGCTTTGGAGACTGGGGGCAGGGTGGGACTCAAGCTGTGCCCAGACCTTCCAAGGTGGTGGTGGGTTGTGAGGCAAAGATGGCCTTTAAAGTACCCCCTACAGTGACTGAGGATCCCAGGCCCCCACTCTTCCCCTGACAGGCTGTTTGGAGGGTGGGGGGGGCAATCCTCCTGCAAACAGCTGAAGAACTTTGGGGAAACTCGCCCCTCCCCAGCCACTCCACCGTGAGAGGCTAGTTGGGCCTGCAGCTGGGGGTGGGGCTGGGGGCACTGACCAAGGAAGCCCAGGGCCCCCAATCTCCCCTGTCCTCCCATAGCCCTGGGGGTGAGCGAGCTGAGGTGGTGCACCATCTCTGACCCGGAGCAGGAGAAGTGTGTGGCCATGGCAGCGGCCTTCAGGGAGGCCACCATCCAGCCGCCCCTCAGCTGCGTCCTGGGGACCTCAGCTGATCACTGCATCTACCTCATCAAGGTGAGTGTCCCCATCCGCCTTGGGTGTGGCTGCGTCTTGGCACGGGGTCCCCGGGCACGATCGGCAGACTCGACTCTCCCCAGAACCGAGTGACTGTGCGTCCCGGAAAGCGGCCTCTTCTGGGGCCTGGCCCGTAAGGTACAAGAGCCCACAGGGAGGGGCTGGGCTGGGGGAGCATCTTCCCCCTCCCACCTCTGCGGGAAGTGACTTATTCGGCCACTAACCAAGAACCCCTCCACCCCGAGATGTCAGGCCAGAGACGATGGATACGCCTGAGTCAGACTTTGAGAGGGCATGGGGGCGGTGCTAGCAGGGCAGGACCCCCAGAGTGCCAAGGGTCACCTGAGCCCAAGGCAGATGGACAAAAGGGAGTGGGAGGGCGGGGCAAGGGTCGGGCCCTGGCTTTGGAGTCTGCGGCTCCGCCACAAGCGAGAGCACCGTGGGGGCCCAGGCAAGGCCTCCCCTGCTCCCGCTCCAATCCAGCATCACCAGGGACGGCTGCGTGCCGGGCACTGGGCTGGGGCCGCAGAGAGAGAAGCAAAGAGCAAGGCAGTCTTGCTTTCGAGGGGCGGATGCGCCAGCCGGGGAGCCGACACTGAGATCGGGGGCAAATGAGCCCCGAGTCACCGGAGGGGGTGGGGAGCCGGGAAGGGCTGGGGGGAAGTGGCCCCTGAGCTGCGCCTTGGATCCTGGAGAAAAGAGGGCAGGGCAGGGCCAGGGCGCCCACAAAGGTGGGCGATGGAGCGCCCTCCTGCTGCCCTGGCGCTGCGCCCCAATGCCACGTACCCCTAGCTCGCCTGTGCTAAACCAAAGAACTAGTCTCTAAGGGGACTGCAGAGGGCAGTTTGGCCCCGGAAAGCAAATGTGAGCGTCTCCGCACGGCTCCTCTGTTTACTCTTGGAACCTTCTGGGGAGAAACAGGCAGCTCTGGAAGACTTGGAGGGACAGGAGGGCTGCCTTCGGGCCCATGGAGAGGGGTGAGGGCGGAGCCAGGAACAAGGGGGCGGGGGCTTCGGGGGGGTGTCACTGCTGTCTGAGGGGGGTATGGGAGCTTGGGGGAATGGAGCGCCTGGAAGACAGAAGCCTTGGAGGTCACCTAGCAGAGGCAGGATGGCCCCTTGGAGGGTCCACAACTGGGCCTGACTCACTCTAGGTTCATGGCTAGCCTGTGACTAGTGAGGTTTCCTTCGGTGTCTGGGCTGCGGCTCAGACCCGGGACATTCTTAGAGCCCCGGGATCGGGAGGCTGGATTCTAGGACTGCTCCTTCCCACGTATTCCTGCATTTTCAAAGGCTTGAAGGCAAAGGAACGACCTGGCCTAACGTGTTATTTCAGTCATGTGGGGGAGATTTGAGGACAGAGAAACCCACCTGGGTTTCCCTCAAATCATAAAGGTTGGGTGGAAGGAGGGAAGGGAGCAAACACTTATTAAGCCCCTACTGCATAGGAGGTACTGTGCTTTACAAACTGCCCCATCTGAGGGGCCAGGAGGCTTAGCTGGGCAGTAAGAGGGGTCCTTGGAGGACACAGGCTTTTGAGGTGCCCAGGGCCCTGCCCTGCTTGGACAGGGGATGCCCAGGGCCTCTGGCTCTCAACCTGGGCACCTCTGGAGCCTTTTCTCTCCTAAAGAGGGAAGCCCCTAGGGGATGCAGGTGAATAGTGTAAAGAGGAGAGGCCCAGCAGGGCCCAGCCACTGCCTCTGTAAAGGGAGGGGGTGCCGAGAGGTTCTCCACCAGGCCCTGGGGCTCCAGGGTCTTCCAGAGAGTGAGGGAAGGAGCAGCTGGGGGGCCAGGGGCCTGCTGGGCAGGGTGGGAGGATGGAGTGGGGGCAGGGCCCTGCACACACTCACTGCCCTGCTCCTGGACAGACCAACGAGGCAGATGCCATCACACTAGACGGGGGAGCCATTTATGAGGCTGGGAAGTACCATAACCTGAAGCCCGTGGTGGGTGAAATGTATGATCAAGGTAATGGGATAGCAGGGCCCTGTCAGGAGAGGAGGGACCCAGAGCCCTGGAAGCAGGGCTGAGGCCTCCAGAGGGAGAGGCCACACGGGGTGGAGGTGGGGGGTTTCGGTCCTTCTTGGTGTCCCCTACCCTGGGCTGGTTCTTCCAGGGCTTGGGAAAGAGCTCAGTCATGGGCCGGGGTGGGGGGAACCCAGCTCCCTGCCCTCAGAGTGTCTCTGGAGCCCCTCCTGTATGTGTGTGTGTGTGTGTGTGTGTGTGTGTGTGTGTGTGTGTGTGTGAGAGAGAGAGAGAGAGAGAGAGAGAGAGAGAGAGAGAGAGAGAGAGAGAGAGAGAGAGAGCGGGAGCCCAGCTCCCTCCCCTCGGGGCGTACTAGGAGCCCACAGGAAGGCTGGCTTGCCTTTAACAAAGGTTTTGATCCTAAATGGTGAACATTACAGGCTTGAGAGGGAGAGGGCTAAGCTCCAAGTGCCCACGACGTGTCCAGGGGCGTTGGTGTCTTGGGGTTGAAAAGTCACATCCTTGTGGCCGATATCTGGTATCTGGTGCTTCTGGCCCCCTTCCCCTCCTATCTCACAATAGCCCTAGGACAGAGGCACCTGAGAGGAATGATTGCTTCCATTTGACAGATGAGGAAACCGAGGCTCAGTTAGAGCCTCATCGCAAACTCAGATCCTCTTCTCTGCCTTCCAGAGGCTGGCACTTCCTACTACGCCGTGGCTGTGGTCAGAAGGAACTCCTCTCTGAACATTGACAACTTGCAAGGGGTGAGATCCTGCCACACGGGTATCAACCGTACCGTAGGCTGGAACGTGCCCGTGGGCTACCTGGTGGAGAGCGGCCGCCTCTCGGTGATGGCCTGCGACGTACTGAAAGGTGAGGCAGCGGGGCTCCGCCCACATTTGTGGTTGTCCGGGCTGGCTGCCCTGCCACCCGTGAGCCGGTCCAGTGCTCCATCCGGGTTACAAGGAAGGCCCCGATCTGGGCCTTGAAAGGACAGGGTCCTACGAGGTGGAGATGAGGTCCAGGCGGGGAGGACAGACGGCAGGACAAAAATGGGAGGGAGATGGCTGGGGTCAGAGGAGCGTGTGCAGGAATGTGCGGAGGGGCTGGGGGTGGGGGGCGGGTCAGGGATGTTCTCTTTGGCAATGACAGCTCCCATGCGCAGGCTCGAGGAGCCCCCCACCCCCCACCCCCCGCCGGCTGGGCAGCTCTGCAGGAGCCCAGACATTCCTGTTTCTGTTCAGGGTAGCCCCCACCTGCCAGCCTCCGGCCGGACCCCACTCCTTCCTTTCCCTCCTCTCACAGAGCCAGTCTGTACCCAGATCCCACCACTGCTCTGGCCGCATCAGCTCTTGTGCAAACGTGCCCTCCTGGTCACGTCTGGCCTTCTCCAAGATTTCCCTGCCTCCAGCCTCTCTCCCCCACTCAACTGCAAAAGTCATCTTTCTTAGATTCCTGCCCAAGGAGTCTCAGGGACCCCTTCTTGCCTCCAGGGTCAAATGTCAGCTCTTTGAGATTTAAAGCCCTCACCATTCTCTGGGTGTGCCTACCTTCCAGGGCTAATCACATGATACGTGCTCAGAATTACCCACAAACTAGGTTCTGGGGCTGTTCCCTGTTTGTACCATTCCATCTCCCACCTCCGGACCTTTGCCCAGGTAGTACCCATCCCTGGAATGTCCTTCCTCCTCCTCTCAGCCATTTCCAATCTTCCCAGGTGCCACCACCTCCAGGAAGCCTTTCTTGATTTCCTGTAGTGCTTGCTTCCTCCCCAATTATCTGCATTTAGTGATCTGTAGAAAAGGATCAAGCATTTTTATTAGGTGCCTATTATGTGCCAGGCACTGTGCTAACATTCACAGATATGATCTCGTCTGAGTATAGCCGTGGTTTATTTCCCGGGAACAGGAAGAGTTTGGGGTTTTTGAATGTTTTCGCGTCCCTAGTGCCCTGAACTTAGTGGCTGCTTAACAAAGTAATTGTTGAATGAATGTTTGCTGAAATCAATCAGAAAGCATCCATCAAGCACCTGCCACGTGCCAGGAGGCTCCGGCGGTGCCAGGACGGGCAATCACCCGATCCCCGCTCTCAGGGTGCTGCAGGCGACAAGGGCAGGTCCATGTGGACGTAGAATGAGCGTAAAGTGAATCCTACGGATTCATACACACATTGAACACGGCGGCAGGCTGAGAGCGCAGGGGCTGGGAGCCGAAAGGCTGGGGAGGAGCCGTGGGACAAAGTGGAGGCGAATGGGGGACAGAAGTGTCCTCAGAACCCAGAGAGTGAGGACAGAGAGGAGACAGTGTGATCAGCGGGACCAGATGCCACAGGACAGAGAAGGGTTAGTCCTGAGAAAGAACCGTCAGCTCTGCAGTGAGAGGTCCCTGGTACTGGAGGGGCTGTGAGGAGTGCGGGAGAGGAGAGGAAAGGGAGGCTGAGAGGAAAGAGGAAGGGGAGGCTGAGAGAGGCAGAGGAGGCTGAGAGAGGAAGGGGAGGCTGAGAGAGAAAAGGGAGACAGAGAGGAAGGAGAGGCTGAGAGAGGAAAGGGAGGCTGAGAGAGGAAGGGGAGGCTGAGAAAGGAGAGGAAGGGAGGCTGAGAGAAGAGAAGAAGGGAGGCTCAGAGCGGAGAGGAAGGGGAGACAGAGGAGAAGGGGAGGCTGAGAGGGAGAGGAAGGAGAGGCTGAGAAAGAGAGGAGAGACAGACGGTGACGGTTTGAGGGGGCGGTAGTACCGAGTGAAGGCTCGTTGGGGATGGGGGAGACCCGGGCTCATTCAAAGGCAGGAGGGGAGGACCCAGGAGAGGAAGAAGCTCGAGAAGGGTGGGGCAGATTGTGGAAGCGCCACATGCTGGAGGGGCGTGTGTAGAGGGGAAGGCTGGCCCAGGAGAACCGATGTCTTCTCTGAGAAGGGCCACCCTATTGTCAGAGACTCGGGGGGGGGGAGGACAGCGGGCTTTTGAGATGAAGACAAAGGGCCAGGAGAAAGCTCGTGTGGAATGGCCACATCTTTCTCAGTCATTAACCAGACACGGAGTCAGGAAAGACGCAGTTTGCATCCTGCCTCCAACACTTACTAGTTTTGTAGTGATGAGCCAGTCCCTTAAGCCCTCTGTGCCTTGGTCTCCCCATTTGTGCTGGTGGGGTAAGAGCGAGTGTCCTCAAGCATGATCCCGGGGTCAGTGATTAGGAGATAAACCCATTGGAGTGGGGCTGGGCTGTGGGTTGGCATCTCCTCCTGGGGGCCAGAAGGAGCCGCTGAAGGCTGGGAGGAGCTAGGTGACTTGAGGTGCAGAGGCTGCTGTCCTACCTGAGGGGTGATGGCGGCAGCTGTCTCCTATCTCCGCAACACAACAGCAAGCGAGTATTCCGTCAAACCACCTGCGGGCTGATGGGGTGAAATCTCTAAGGCTGAGCCCAAGTCTCTGAGCAGCTGGGAAAAGGGCTCAGCAGCCCTGGAAGCCTCCCCGGAGGAGGAGGAGGAGGAGTGGGGCAGGGGAAGCAAGGAGCGAGGCAGAGAGGGGAGCCTATGTGCTAGGGGCCTGAAAAGCCAGGCATAGTAGCTGGTCCAGGGGGGTACCTAGTGAACCCCCATCTCTCTGGGGGAGGAATCCCAAGGGCTTCTGTTCAGGTGGGTTCCTTCATCAGGGAAGTGATGCTTCTCCATGGACCATCTGGGCCTGATGCTCATGACAGCCCTGGAGAGGCAACAGAGCAGGGGTTATCCCCTTTGCAACTGGAGAGACCAAGGTTCAGAGGGCGCTGACTTTCCCCAGGTCCCAGGGTCCAGGGGGGATTCCAGCCCAGTTCTTCCGGGGCCAGGGCCAGAGTGTTTCTCCCTCTGTTAGTTGCTGCCCTGCCTCTCAACAGACATCTTTAATCCTCTCCACAGAGAATTGGGTCCCTGGCTCAGGGACTAGCCTCCCCCCTACTCCCACCAGGGGCTGGGCAGGCTGACTGGCTTCTCACCTCTTTCTCTTGCAGCGGTCAGCAGCTACTTTGGGGGCAGCTGTGTCCCGGGAGCCGGGAGACCAGTTATGCGGACTCCCTTTGCAGGCTCTGCAGGGGCGACGCTGCCGGGGAGGGAAGGTGTACCAAGAGCCCTCTGGAGAGGTACTATGATTACAGTGGAGCCTTCAGGTAAGAGGGACGGCCAAGCCAGCCACTGTTGGGAGCAAGATGTTTAGAGGGCTCAGCCAGACAGCCAGGCAAGGGCCTGCCTATAAGAGGGAGGCAGGGGGGCTGGCAGGGTGGACACCATAGAGAGAACCAGAATCCGAACAGGAACCTGGGGGGGTGGTTTGGAACAGTCCCAGGAAGCCTTCCCAGTGGACATCCCATCAGCTTCTAATGGGACCACCTACAAGCAGGACAGCTCGAAGGTCATTCCAGGGGGGAGACTCTTCCCCCTCCCTGGGACCCTCTCCCCCAGCTTCTTTCTCCAGTGTTAAGGAGGCAGGGGCAGGTCTCGTGACCAAGAATCTGGCCAGAATGATGCAGTCTCATTTTCCTGGGCATTATCACCTTGGACAAATCACAGGGCAGCAAAGTTAGAAGGGACATCCAGCCCAAGGCCCTCATTTTACCTTTTTATATGTTTCAAGAAAGGATTTGGGTATTTCTTTGTGCCACAGTCACTTTCCATGGCAGCTGCCCAAACACTGCCCTTCCATAGGGAGCCCTGGGGGTGGATATTCGGAAGAATGAGGCTTGAGCTGCCACAGATTCCAGGGAACTTTCTAGAATTGGGGGGTATGGACACGCGTGCCAAAATCATGGGGTCCGGGGAGAGTCACCAGGGCCTTCGATAGGATTTCTCGAACCCAAGTGTGAGATGACCCATCCCTATTCCATTTCATCTGATTCAGTTCAGCCCAGAGCACTGTCCTGCTGAGGACAGACTCGGTGTCTGTGCTGCCAGATCATGTTGGACCCTGACTATCGTCCAGGGCACCTCCTTCCCAGCTGAGTGTCTTCTGTAATGTGAGAAGCGCCCTGATGTCTTTGGTAAAAATATGAAATGGCCCAAGGGCACTTTGTGGGAGATCAGCCAATGAAAGACGGACGCTAAGTCCAGCTGTTCTGGATGCAGCCAGGTCTGAGCCCATCTCCTGGTGCTAGCATCAACCTCCACCCCAACCGCCTTTTCCCCAAGAATATCGGGAGACACTTGATGTAGGTGGGCTAGGCAAATCACTCTCATAGGGCCCCTTTTATACCGGGTTAGTGACCCTGTAAACAATGTAGAAAGGAGAGACGGTTCTGGAGGAATCTGGGCCAGCCCTTTGGGGCCACTTCTTTTCCCAGATGTCCACTCACCCTTCCTTTCATGATGTAGTCTAGAACATGGCCAGGAGCTGGCTCCTCGTGGTCCCATCTCCTGGACTTTGTGGACGTTCCAGGTGGCCAGCACGTACTCAGGAACCTGAGGGTGGGCATTGGAGCACTGAGCTTCTCCTCCCCTCCCCTGCTGCAGGTGCCTGGCAGATGGAGCAGGAGATGTGGCGTTTGTGAAGCACAGCACAGTTCTGGAGAACACAGATGGTGGGTGTGGGTGTCTCCTTGGGGGAGGCTGGGAGGGAGTGAGGGGGGAGCTGTGGGAGCCAGATCTGGTGCCCCTTGGTGACGTTAAGGGCCAAGTGTGGAGGAGGCTCTGATCCTGGGAGAGCTTGCGGGGGCTAGAAGGTTAGAAAGACCCGGGAGAGGTTGTCTGTTCTATTCCCGTGGACATGACAAGATCCTAAGCCATGAATGGCCCTGGCCACAGAGATCTTGCTACCTTTTCCTCACAAGTCCCTAGGGTGGGAGGCTTCCTTGGTGGGTCCAGACTTGGAGCTGAATGAGAGGGCATCACCCTGCCAGGGGCCTGCCCTGGCTTTGGGGATTGCTCTTGGGCTCCTGCACAAGACTGTTAGCTGAACAATAAGCGTATTAGGTGCCTGCTGGGAATCATCCTAGTCACTCAAGACACAAGAGATATGAGCTAGGCGTCTGGAGCTGTCCCAGGTGCTGTGGGTGGACCGGCGAGGCCGGGGGTGCCCCTCCTCCCCTTCCCCATTGGAGGTCTTCAGGCAGCTGGGGGAATGACCGCTGGGAGCGTGGTGGACATGCTCAGTGGGCCTCTTCCTCAAGCCGGGTTGAATTTGGTGCTCCTGAGGGCCTTCTGTGATTCGGAGTGTAGGGCACACCTTCCGGACTGAGGGCGTGGCTTGTGCAGCTGCCCGGAGGTGGGAGACAGTGCTGAGGTTTGGCACCGATCACGGCTGCCCATAAGTCTAGACAGGCAGTTTGGCTTGTGAATAAACAACATTACCCACCCTTCCGAGGAGCCGGAGTCTCGTTCTCGAGTTACCAGGGAGCTATTGAAACTTCCTGAGCCGGGGAGTGTCACAGGAGGTAATTGTGGGAAGGATGATTGACAGGAGGGACCTCTGCAGAGGCTGCTGCAGCGTTCCAGTGAGGGGTGATGAAGGAGGGCCACCGCGGAGCAGAGAGATTGGCGGGAATGCAGGACGTGTCAGAGAAGCAGAATTGACGGGATGTGAGGGAGGAGGGAGATGGAGGAGCCCAGGACACCTCTGAAGGCGAGAATCTGGCCGGCTGAGAGAAAGGTGGTGGCCTCAAGAGGAAGTCAGGAGAGGGGGAGGATTGGGGTGGGGGGAGAAGAATGCATCCTCTTCTGAATGTTTAGTTTGGGGCGCCTGCCTGACAGCCAACTCAAAATATGTCATAGCCAAGGTGAAACGGGGGCTCAAGAGAGAGGTCAGGACTGGATATTTAGATCCAGGAATCAAAAGTGTAGAAATAGTAACAGGAACCAATGAGGTTACCAGGAGGGAGACTCTTGGGGGATACCCACAGGTTAGGGGCAGGCTATGAGACAGGAAAGGAGACTAAGAAGGAGCAGTTGGGGAGACAGTCAGTGAGCATTTATTAAGCACTTACCATATGCTAGGCATTGTGACTCAGGTGAGAGAAATGTCACAAGAACACAGGGAAAATGGAATCCCCAGGAGAGGACGGTCAACAGTTTCAAAGGCTGCAGAGAGGATGAGAAGGATGGGGACTGAAAAAAGCCCATCAGAGCTAGTAAATAAGAGATCTGTGCAGTCTTAGAGACCACAGTTTCAGCTGTGTGGCTCAGTGGTTGGAGCACTGGGCCTAGAGTCAGGAGAACCTGAGTCCAAATCCAGATGCAGACAATTACTGGCTGTGTGACCCTGGGCAAGTCACTTCACCCTGTCTGCCTCAGTTTCCTCATCTGTAAAATGAGCTACAGAAGGAAATGGTAAATCACTCCCATATCTCTGCCAAGAAAACCCCAAGTGGGGTCATGAAGACTCAGACAAGAGCAAACTACAGTGAAGTCAGAAGCCAGGCTGTGAAGGGTTATCGAGTGAGAGAGGAGAAGAGATGGAGACAAGCGTAGGAGCCTGCCTGAGGAAAGGAGGAAGGTGGAGGATCAAATGGGGAGAAGAGTGGGCGTGGCTAGGAAGCCGGAGACGGCAGAAGGGGGGAGCACAGCTGATGTCCAAGGTTCCAGATGAAGAGAAGGGGAGCTCATGGGGAGCAGCCTTCATCTTCTCCTAAGAGGCAAGGTCCTCAGCTGAGAGAGGAGGGCAGGGACATGGAGGTGGGGGAGACTTGAGGAGAGAAGAGACTGCTTTGGAATGGTGCTGGAGGCTGAGATGGAAGCTGGAAGAAGGGAGGAGTAAAAGGACTTTGATGCTGCTAGAAGGAGCCAGTGGAGTTGAGAAAGCATAGATTGGTGGCAGACTCGTGATTTCCTCTGGCACCATCCAGCAGCTCGTGAGTAGGAGGGAAGGAGGTGGCTGGTGGGCATTATCCAGGGTCAGATTTGCCAAGATGGGCACAGCAATAGTTAAAGTGGGCAGAGGGCATTTTAGGGATGAAGTGATTAACTCCAGGGGCAATGTTGGGAAGGGAGGAAAGTGAAGCCAGAGCCTGAGAAAGGCTTAAGGGATGGGGTGAGGAGCAGGATGGAGGCTGGAGGTCTCAGTGAGGGACTCAGTCATAGAGAGAGGTGAGGGGCCAGGAGGTCAGACACACAGCGCTAGGACTATCAGAGCTCTCTGCCATGGAAGAGGAACACTTGTGGAGGTCCAGACCCTGCTGGCCCACACAGAGGGAGGATGCCCTGGGGTCTGAGAAGCTCCCCAGAAAAGGGGGTTTGAATGTGAGGCTCAATGGGACCTCAGCAGGCAGGTGGAGAGTCAGGACTGGAGCTCAGATGCGCTTGGCCCCCAAGAACTGATGAACCCAAGAAAGAGTAGGCACACAGTGACAAGGGAATGGGGCCCAGGGCAGCATCTGGGAACACACCTCCTGCCTGTTCAGCCTCTATACCTTGGTACACTGTTTCTTCTGGGACCTCCTCTGGTCCCTGGTACCTGTCATGTTGAAATCCTTCCCTTCCCTCCAGGCCCCATGAGGATGCCACCTCCCCCAGAGGCCCCTAGTTGCCTTCTCTGAACCTCAGCTCTGCCTCTTTCCCTGAGGCCAACAATCTGTGTTCAGCTTAGCTCCAGCCCCACCCTCTGGACTGGCCATCTTTGAGGGCAGGACATCCTTGTACTGCTAGTACCAGGCACCCAGTAGGGGACCGAAGGGGAGCAGTGTATTAAAAACAGGTGTGTCTCCTCCCCCCAAGCTGGTGAGACTGGAGCAAAGCCACTGGTTTGTACCTGGACACCAAGGGGCCTGGCAGGATTCCCCCTCAAGCCATGGGCACCAGGGCTGTGTGTCTGGCCTTTGAGAGGGCCCCTGGGAGAACTGTTTCAAGCTGCTGAAACAGGGGTAGTGAGCAGAGCCTAGGGATGGCCTGCTTCCCCGTGGGAGAGTCCTGCTCTCAAGGTGAAGGGCCGCTCTAAGCACCTCCCGGGCTGGAGCTGGTCTGACTGGGAGGTCTCCTTCTCCTAGGGAAAACCCTGAGCTCATGGGGAAGGCCACTGCTGTCCCGTGACTTTCAGCTGCTGTGCAGGGATGGCAGCCAGGCAGAAGTCACCCAGTGGAGGCACTGCCACTTGGCCCGGGTGCCTGCACACGCTGTGGTTGTCAGGGCCGACATGGATGGGGCCCTCATCTTCCAGATGCTGAACGAGGGCCAGGTGAGGGTGGAGGCCAAGACTAGCCCCAGGGACATTCAGCCCCTCCCCGGCTGGCTTCCAAGGGTAAGGGCAGCCCTTTCTGGTCCTGCTGCTGAGCACCTGGCATCCTGGAAGCCCTCCCCACTGCCTTTGGGATGACTCTCTGTGTGTCTGTCTCTCTCTTCCTCCCTCTCTCTGTGTCTCTGTCTCTCTTCCTCACTCCCCTCCCCTCCCTCCTCCTCTCTCCCCATCCCTTCATCTGTTACTAGTTATCCCTTCAGCCCCCCCCCCCACTCCTCCGCGTGTCCCCTTCTCTCCACTCACACAGGTGGCCACCGCCCTGGCCCAGGCCTGTGCTCCTAACAAGGAGGCTGGCGGCTTCCATTCCCACTGACACAGAGCCCCTACCCTCCCCACCCCCCTGCTACAGATGAAGTTCAACCAGGAAGGAGCCAGCTTCCAGATGTTTGACTCAGAGACCTTCCAGCAGAAAAACCTCTTGTTCAAGGACTCCACCATAGAGCTGGTGCCCATTGCCACACAGACCTATGAAGCCTGGCTGGGCAATGAGTACCTCCATGCCATGATGGGCCTGTTCTGCGACCCCAACAGTGAGTAGCCCGGTGGCAGACACTGAGGGACCTTGGTTAGGAGCTGCCTCCACCCTGGGAGGATTTCTCAAGGCTCCATCTCTCTCTCCTTAATCCCCTCACTATGGTATTGCTTGGAGTAGGTACTTTATTCTTAGATAGGAAATGGAAGCAAACAAACATTTATTAAGCACCTACTATGTGTCAGGCACTGTGCTATTTACCTTGCCTGAGAGGCAAGTGTTACTATTATCCCCGTTTGACAGTTGAGGAAACTGAGGCAAGCAGAGTGAAGTGACTTGTCCAGGGTCCCAGGCTACGAAGTGTCTGAAGGCAGACTTGAGGTCAGGGCTTCCTCACTTCAGGTCCAGGTTCTGACCCTGAGCCAACAAGTGGCCTTTCTGTTGAGCCTCTGTCTTCATGGCCTTGAGGTTTTGGTGCAGAGCTGTCCCAGCCCAGCCCCTGTCCTCCTGCCTCAGGGGGATGAGAAGAGTCTGGGGCTGCATCAAGCCCAGGCCTCCAGGACTGAGGCCTCTCAGATCTAAACAGGGCCCTCCCCTCTGTGGGCAGTCGGCCCCTGGGGCAGGGCCTGCCTCATCTGCTCTCGGCCCCTGCTTGGGTTAGGCCAGGCATCTTGGGGTGTGGATGGACAATTTCTAGGACGCCAGCCTCCCTTCACCGTGGCTCTCCGTCCCCCAGGGCTCCCTAGCTACCTCCGATGGTGTGTGCTTTCCACGCTGGAGATCCAGAAGTGTGGGGACATGGCTGTAGCCTTCAGCCGGAAGCAGCTGAAACCTGAAGTCCAGTGCATCTCAGGCGAGTCAGCCAGACACTGCATGGAGCAGATCAAGGTGGGCCGGGACCCCCGGGTGGCAGGGAGGGCGATGCCTTGCAGCCAGCCTCCGCGACTCCTTCCACAGGGGTCCCGCAAGTGTCTGTGGGAGGGGAATGTGGCTTGTCCTGGGCCTCGCCTCTTCTTCATGGGCCCCTCTGGGGACTCAGGACTCCATCCTTGGACAGCTCTGCCTCTCTACCCTGACCCCTGCTGCCTCCCTGGAGGAGAGTCCAAGAGCACTTCCTCTGGGGCTGAAGAAAGCTGGGCTTGCTGCCCGGGATCCCCGCCCCCTCCAGCTCTGGGGTAGGGGGAGGTCCCCCTCTGCCTCTGAGAGAGGCTGGGAGCACGGGCGTGGCTGAGGGTGGCACTGCCCGTTGTCAGCATGTGTAGAGGGCAGGCGAGAGCCAACCCCCGGACAGCACTGACTGCGGCCCCTGCCCAGCCTCCCGCTGCCCGGGCACATGTCTCAGGGACCGGCTTCTCCCTTTCTTCGCGTCCTCAGGGCTTAGCACAGTGTCTGGAACACAGCAGGTTAATCAACGTCTCCTGATGGATGGGCAGGGCTGGGCAGTGGGTGGTGCCCTTGGGGAGCCTCATCTCTCTGCTGCCCAATGCATCAGGGCTTGGAGGAGATGACCACTATGATTTTGCCCACTCTAACACTGGGTTTCTGCTGTCCCAGGCTCCAGAGAGGGCCTGGCCCAGCCTGGCTGTGGGAGCATGGCTCCATTGGCCACCATGAGCCCTGGTGCCCTCTGCCAGATGTCCAGGGGGCAGCTCTGGGACAGGGATGGGCTTCTGGCTTTCCCAGAACCCAGCTGGACACTCATTCTCTCCTCCCCGCCCAGGCTGGGCAGGGAGGACGGAGAGAGGCCCTGGGAGGGGGCCAGGTCACAGTGAGTTGTACCCAGTGTCCATACCACCCGACACTGCTGGGCACGCCCAGAGGCTTTTGAGAAACAGGCTAGGACCAAACAAGGAGGCCAGCTCCTGTCCTGTCCCCCCAGGCCAAGGAAGCCGATGTCATCACTCTGAGTGGAGATGATATTTACACAGCCGGGCAGACCTATGGCCTCGTGCCAGCTGCGGGAGAGAGCTACCAGGGTAAGGGCAGAAAGGGGGCCTTCTGTGGGATTGGCCATCCTCCCCGAGTGAAGGGTGGCTTCCAGGCTTCAGGAGGGCTGTGGGTCAGAAAGCCTGGGGGAGTCTGGCCTGGGCAGGCCCTTTGGGGACCAGTGCCTTCCTTTTGTGTGGGAGGAGCACTGGAAGAGATCACTGAGCTGCCTGGGACCACAGAGGCACAGACCCCACCCCCACATTCTGACTTTGCTTGGAGACCTCCAGTGATGGGGATCTCACTACCTCCCGCTTAGGGAGGGCCCCAGTGGTTAGGATGTTGGTCAGCCCTGAGCCTGAGGGCCCTCTTTACTGACAGCTGGGCCACCCCTGAGCCCCTCAACTTGGCCTGGCTCCTGGGCAGTCTTGGGCTTTAGTCCTTTCCCGTGGGTGTGGAGAGCCCTCTTGTTCTTATTCCTGGTGCCTTTTTGGTGAGATGAGAAAAATCCCACAGAGGTGCCAGACAGTTCCCTGGCCTGGGCAGCTGCCCCCAGAGCTGTCTGAGACTGCTGCTGGCTGGCCCCTGGCCCAGATGGGAGGTCCGGAGGGCACCTGGGGCCAGGGCAGAGGCAGGGGGCCCTGCGGGGGTCCAGGAATGGTAGCCATCCACGTGGTCAGGGCTGGGAGTGGGCAGAACTGCAAAGTGAGCAGGGAGTGGCCTAGGTCCTGTTCCTCAGGGCACTCGCCGTGCCCCCCAGACCAGTACCCATAGCACCCAGGAAGGATCCGTTTAGGTCACAGAATTGGGGATCAGAGGCCGTGGGTGCAGGAGGGACATCCGGGGGGGTGGGAGGGAGGTCCTCAGCCACCCTTTGCCATGCCAGCAGATAACACGAAGGACACGTACTATGCTGTGGCCGTGGTCAAGAGGAACAGCTCCTACGCCTTCACCATCGATGAGCTCAAGGGCAAGCGCTCCTGTCACTCTGGCTACGGCATCGCGTCCGGCTGGGGACATCCCTGTTGGGGTCCTGGTACAGAGAGGCTTCATCCAGCCCAAGGGCTGTGACGTCCTCCAAGGTGGGAGGAGGGGAGGGGCAGCGGGAAGGTGTGGGAGGAGAGGAGTGGGGAAGGGGAGAAGGGGGAGGAGCAGAGGGAAGGGTGTGGGAGAAAAAGGGGGGGGTTGTTCTCCACCCACATTCCCTCCCACTGCAGTGCTTGAGGCTGCCCTGAAGAGTAATCTAGTCCACTCCCTTGCCTCCTTGCAGGACAGACCCTCCCCAGAACCCCCCTCCCATTCCAGACAGAAGAGGGTATCTCAGAGCCCCCCTCCCCAGTGTTTGGGATGGTTCTCACTCGTTCCAGCTATGGCCAAAGGCAGAGGCACCAAAGGGACCCCCCCACACACACAAACAATTCCAGCTGGGGGCCTTGGGCTCCCTGGTCCCTCTGCCCTTGCAACTGGCCCAGACCTGGGGGGGCAGACCCTGGCTCATGGGGGCCTTCCTCAGCAGCCTCAGGGTCTGGGGGTCATGGGGAGCAGATGTGGATGGAATCATCAGGCCCGGGCTGGCAGGTGGCCTGACTGATGATGCAGGTGGCAGGGCATGGTTAAAACCCACTCGGCCAGACCTGATTGTGGTCAGGTAGATGCTGAAGGAGTTTTGCTGAGCCCTGAGGCTAGCCTGGACCTGGCATCTACGGAAGCCCTGGGCATTAGATAGCCATACCATCCCACTGAGGCCCAGCAGGCCAGGCCGGCCACCCCAGGGCCTCCGCTTTACCCCTCTTTCCTGGAGAATGGGTGGATGGGGAGGGCAGGAGGCTTGTCATTGTGGAGACAGAGCCAGCCCGGAGGGCAATGCTCTAGGAGATGCAATTGTGCCAGTGAAGAGGGACATTCTTGGCTTGGGCACCCAGAGTCCCTGCTGCCCACTTCCCACTGCCCCTTCCCTTCCAGCTGTGAGTGAATTCTTCTTGGCCAGCTGTGTGCCCATGAACAACATCAAAGACTACCCACCCCAGCTCTGTGAGCTGTGCATCGGGGATGACCACGGCCTGAACAAATGTCATGGGAACAGCCAGGAGCGTTACTATGGCTACAGTGGGGCCTTCAGGTACCTTGGCCCCCAGGGCAGCTTCTCGGGGGCATCAGGGCCCATGGGATCCTCAGGGGCCCATCTTTAGCTCTGCCAGGATCTGTGGAGTGCCCGCTGGGTGCCAGGACCAGGACTAGACATGGGCAGAGAGACGAAGCCAGCCCTGCCCTCTGGGAGCTTACACTCTCTTTGGGTCTTGGCAGGTGCCTGGCTGAGGGTGCTGGAGACGTGGCCTTCGTTAAGCACTCCACCGTCTTTGACAACACCAATGGTGAGAGGCCTCGGGGCCAGGGCTCCCCAGGCACCACATGTGATGGCGGGATGATTCACTGGCATAGAGTTCAGGGGGCCTCTCTCCTTCTGGGCCTGTTGGACAAACCCCGCCTGTCTGCACCCTGCGGAGTATGGTCCAGTGGCTCTGGAGTCAGAGGCTGGGCCCAGACCCTTCCCCTGGTCCTTTCCATTTAACCTGCCCCTCTCTGTACACTTCAGTTTTCTGTCAGTAAAACAAAAGGTTTGGACTGCTCAACCTCTGGGGCTCTTCCTGTGACCGCAAGGTCCCACAGAATCATGCCTGAGGCTCTGAGGTCACGGGGTCCCTGAGGAAAGGGAGGGAACCTGTGCAGGCAGTTGGGAGGAGACCCAAGACCCTGTGCGTCTGGAACAAGGGCTGGGGGCTGAGGCCGGGGATTCGGAGAACTTCCCCAGGTGACTCTCTCCTCCCCCAAACCCCCCCCCCAGGCCACAACACCGAGGACTGGGCAGTTGGCCTGAGGTCTGAAGACTATGAACTGCTGTGTCCCAATGGCGCCCGGGCTGAGGTTACCCAGTTTGAGGCCTGCAACCTGGCCCAGGTGCCGGCTCATGCTGTCATGGTACATCCAGACACCAACATCTTTGCTGTGTACGGGCTGCTGGATAAAGCACAGGTGAGGAGGAGGGGGTTGGGGCTGAGGTGAGGGAGAACAAGTCCAGCCTGGCTGGGACCTCCATGTCCAGCCCAGCTGGGGCCCCCATGTCCAGCCAGCTGACCAGACCAGAGGAAGAAGCTCAAGCCCTGGCTGGATAATTTCAGCAAAGTCATTTCCCTTCCTGAGCCTCAGTTTCCTCTCTGGACTTTGTCCTGTGTGCTTAGGGGATATCCTTTCTGTGGCATACAGTCTGTAGTATCTGGCCAGTAAGTAACGTGTGAGTGAGATGAACCAGGCCCTCTTCAGGGCGTCTGTTGCCCAGACTCCTCCAGCACTCTGGGGAGCAGGGCCAAGAGGTGGAGGCAGGGGTGGTGACAGAGAACTGCCAACGTGGTGACCCCCAGATGTAGGCCTTTGGACTGGGGTTCTTCTCTCAGAGTGGGAGGGCTCATGGTCTGGGCCAGGCCCAGCTCAGGCCAGTCCAGTGATCCAGGCTGGGGTTATAGCACAGCAAGTTACTCAGGGGCCATAACAGGCAAAAGGATATCTTTACTTGTGGTCAGATTGAATGGGACACTGATCATAGCTGAAATCTGAGAAAATGCTACTCCCCATCCCCCCACCCTGGACACCTTGTGCCCGCCACAGCAGGAGACAAGGCTGCAGGGAATTCTGCCCCAACCTCCAAACACCAGTGTCCTCACACGGAGCTTGGAGGCCTCCGGGGACAAGGAAATGCTCCACGTTAGGCCCTGGGCCTCTTGCCCCTTAAACAAATACCAAGGGTGGTCTCCTGGACCCTTGGTAGGAAACTCACTCAAGCTACATGGCCTTGCTAGAACGTCAGACCCTAAAAACGTGATCCAAGCCCAGTGAGCATTTATCAGACACCTGTGCCGTGCAGGCTTTGAAATATGGGGCCAAAGATGAGATGCCTCGCACTCAGGTCCTCCCCTCCAGCTCATCCTCCACTCTCTGGCAAAGGTCTGACCAGCCGCCCCTTCCTTTCCTCTACCAACCCCAGCTCCCCATCCCCCAGGATCAAAAGGAAAATCCTGTTTGACTCGTGATGCCCTTCATGCCCTGCCCCCTTTCCTACTCCTTATTCCTGCAGTGATTCAATATCAGGGGCCTCCTGGCTGTTCCTGATACATGTCCTGACTGGGAGCATTATCTCTGGCTGTGCCTCCTGCTTGGAATGCCATCTCTTCTCCTCTCTACTGACCTCCCCAACTTCCTTCAAGTCCTAGTGAAAATCCCACCTTCTGCCATCCCTCTTCATTCTACCACCTTCCCCTCTGGGGATATCTCAATTTGTGCTGACTGTGGCTTGTTTGTCCAGAGTTGTTTAGACTGGGAGCTCCTGGGGGCAGGATCTGCCTTCTATCTCTGGGCATCCTCGGCCCTTAGCACAGTGCCTGGCACACATCAGGTGCTAAATCCATGCTTGCTGATTGGCTGGTGCCCAAACAGAAAGAGGGGAGCTCCAAGGAGGGCTTGGGGCCCAGATGAGCCACACACCTGCAGGGGACCCCCTGAGCCTGGGATGTCTGTGCCCATTGGTGCTGTGAGGCCTTTCTCCCTCCCTCTGCTTGCGAAGGGCAGTCAGATGGCTGGGGACAGCGATGTTGTCTGGCTGCCAAGTAGGGGGAAGCTCTGTGGAAGGCAGCGTCCCCCTCCCCCAGCGCTTATCATTAGCCCCAAGATTCCTTATCTTCTGGCCTGAGGGTCCAAAGTCCCAGGAGGAGTCCCCAGCTGGCTCCCTGAGTCTCTGCCAGATGGGCGCATCCACATTCCTCAGCCACAGAGCCCCAAGCCTGACCCCCCTGCTCAACTGGGCTTCAGGGGTGTTGAGCCTGCCAGGCATGGCCGCAGCCCAGTTTTTTGGCTCCAGCCTCCACAAGGGCCCCTTCAGTTGGGTCTGAGCTTGTCATTAAATCCTCTGTCCTCTGATATTGGAAATTATGTTTTCTCAGCAGTCACCCAGTAAATTAAGCCCAGGACATCATTCCATGCCCTGGGGTGGAGGGGGTGTCTCCCAGGGCTGATTAAGAGACAATCTCTGAGGCCCATAGAATGTAAGCTCTTTGAGAGCAGGAGCTGCTCAATTTTGTTTTTGAATCCCACAAGACAGAACCCAAAAATGTATCTTACATAAAGGAAGGAAGGAAGGAAGGAAGGAAGGAAGGAAGGAAGGAAGGAAGGAAGGAAGGAAGGAAGGAAGGAAAATGGATGAATGGATGGATGGATGGATGGATGGATGGATGGATGGATGGATGGATGAATGAATGAATGTCATTTCCAGGACTTGTTTGGGAATGACAGCAACAAGAATGGGTTCAAAATGTTTGACTCCTCGGATTACCATGGCCAAGACCTGCTGTTCAAAGACTCCACTGTCCGAGTGGTGCCCGTGCAGGAGAAGACCTCGTACACATCTTGGCTGGGCCAGAACTATGTGGCTTCCCTGCAGGGGCTTCAGTCACTGCAGTGCTCAGGAGCAGGTAAGGAAGACAGCCTCCACCACCTGCAACAGGACTCTGGCCACGCCCCCCAGGACTGTGCTCCAGAAGGCCTCCAGAGGCCCGCATCTCCAGGAGCTTTGGGGAGTGGGCACCATAGAAGCTGCCAGGAGGCCTCCAGACCCCTCCCGCATTTCCAGGGGCTTGAGGGAGTGGGCACCATAGAAGCTGCCAGGAGGTCTCCGGAGGCCTCCCCTCCAGGAGCTAAGCTGCTGATGGCCACTTGCAGCCTGGGTGGGGAGCAGTTGGGTCTTCATTGGACAGATGAAGGATGAAGGTGAAGGGTACAGAGTTGGGAAGGGGGCAGCTGGAGAGCAATGTTGCCCTCAGCTGGAGAAAGGCACTTTGACTGGGTAAGGTAACCCCTTCCTGCTCCCTGCCTGGCCTCTGCCCAGTGTCTTCCTGAGCTTCTTTGCTGGTCAATCTTCTAGTGACTCAAAGGTCGGGGACAGAAGTCCAGAAGAGGGTGTGGATGGCCCTGGGAGGTGCCCCGCTTATGCGCTGACTCATTGGCACATCCCCTGGGGGTCTCAAGCCCTGTCAGTGGATGAATTGAGTGTTCAGTTGTCTCAATGGTGGGAACTGTGGGTCGAGGGAGGGCAGTCCTTGCAGGTGCAGAGACCATGGGGAAAGGGGGGGAAAGGAGGAAATGAGCATTCATAGAGAACCTACGGTGCGCTAGGCACTGGGCTAAGTACTTTGCAATGATTAGCTCATTGGATCCTTACAGCCCCCCTGGGAGGTAGGGGCTGTTATCATCACATGTTACCATTGACAAAATGGAGACAAAGGTTAAGTGACTTGCAAGTGTCTGAGGTTAGATTTGAACTCAGGTCTTGCTGATTCCTGAGCCAGCAGTCTGTCCACTGTACCACTTGGTTGCCCCTAGATCCTCATGGTGTGTGCCAGGGTTTAAATATGGATATATACAGAAGATTGCTTCTAACTGTGAGCTCCCAGGCCCAGGGACTTCTGGGAGGCGATGGAAAGACCTCTCTGATTTCTTAGCATGTGACTTGGAACAAGTCTGGGCCTTGGTCTTCTCATCAGTAAAGCGGGGACAGCCGTCCCTGCTCTGCCTCCCTCCCAGGGCTGTTATGAGGAAGGCACTTGCCAAACTTTAAGGGCCTCAGGACAGGGGGAATACTCCTAGGCCCCCTGCAGGGTCCACTTCTGATCCCATACCCCCATCTCCCTATTTGTCCTCACTTCCTCTCCTCCTCCCCAGCCAAGGGGCTCTGGCCAGCCCCCGTTTCAGCCTCGGGCTGGGCAGCTGCTCCAAACGATTAACCCAACGGCGTCAGGCGGAACTGTAGCACCCTCAGGAGCTGTCCATGGTACCCAGCAGCCCCCAGAGAGCTTCAGGAAACAGGCTCCAGGGGGTTTTGTTCTTAACTTAATCCCGGCTTCTCTTCCTCTCTGGCAGTGACTGCTACCCCAGCCCTGCTGCTGCTCCTGCTGCTCTTCCTCGGCTCCCTCCTGAGCCCTGACCTGTGACCTCTCCCCCGGCCCTTCCTCAAGATGAAAGGAGGCTCAGACCCTCAAATACACAAGGCCGCTCTTCCTAATAAATCCAGTTAACGTTGATCTGGGAGCAATCAGAGAACAATCATGCCCCATCACCCCTCTGCTGAGACCTAGGAGCCCAGTCACCACAGAGGGCTTGGGCAAGTAGTTTTAAAACAAGAATAAAACTTAGTGTTAGCCATACCTCCTTCCCACAATTTGAATTAGAATGGAAAAGGCCTAGCTGATGGAAGTGCTGAGAGGTCGGTCCTGCCCAGGGGAATCGCTCCTGGAGAGCTCAGCCCTCCACTCCATGTATCTGCACTCGAGGTGGTTCTTCTGGGAGCAGCCCAGCTGCAACTCCTGGTCTGATGGAGGGGGGAAGAGAGGTGGGCCAGCACCCATGATGAGCCTAGGTTGTCTGGAATCCAGAATCCTGCCCATGTCTAGGGGTGCAGCCTCACAGCACCCTCTCTGCAGACCTCCTCTGGACTGAGAACTGGGGGTGGCCCAGAGCCTGAAGATGAGGGGGGAGGAGTCCATATCCTGCTTTTCAAGGCTTGGGTCTTTCCTCCTTCCTTCCCTCCATCTTTTCTGCCAGCTTTCACCCCTGTATCACCTTCCCATGCCTGGCCCATGGAAGCCCTCACTCTGGCTTTGGGGCTCCAACGCTGCCCCTGAGTGTTTGCTGCTCCATTTCATCTGCAACCCCCACTCTGGGCCCCCATGGCTGCCCCAACCCATCACCTGGCCCAGGTGCAAGATAACTGTCGGCTGCCCCTCTCACTGCCACATGGCTTTCCTTCCCTTGCCCCCTTGCCTGATGCACATCAGTGAGCATGTCTGCCATGGTCTTTGGGCATCTGGCTAAGGAGCAGGGCAGCCCAGAGCATGTGGTTGGTGCAGGAGCAGAGCTAACATCCCCACAGATGCCACTATCTCAAGCCTGAGGGGCATCAGTCAACACAGCCCTGAACGATGGGGCAGGATTTTTTCACTGAAGCACCAGGGAATTGGTGGCACTCCCCCACCCTGCAGAACTCCTCCAAGTGGCCTTTTCATGGATTGAGGGAGTGGTCAGAGGTGCACACCCAAGGGGCAATAGCCACTCTTTGCTCTTGCGTCATGCCCCTGGCCATGCAGGCCCAGTTGCTCTAACCAAGCACTGAAATGAAGCTTGGTCTTCTGGCAGTGGTGGATGACTGGGACCAGAGGAGGTGGGATGGAGGCAGACTAGGGCTCTCTGATCCCACAGCTGAGACAGTGGAAATGTCCTCCAGCCTTCCTCCAGAGCAGCCACAAGAAGCCCCAGGCCTCGTCACAGTCCTCCGCTGCTCCCAACAGTCAGAGGGTTGCACCACCTCCATCTTAGGCTGCCCACAAGCCACCTTCTTTCTTGTCCATGGCCCCCTTCCTGCTTAGCGCAGAGCCCATCTGGGTCCTGCTCCCCTCTCCTGGATTGGAAATTTGATGAAGGTTCTGAAAGAGGCAGGTGTGTGTCTGTGCAGCTTTTGGCTCTCGGGGCCTGAACCCACACTGGCCTTGGCTACAGCTTCATGTCACCATGAGGAATCTGACAAGGCCAATGAGACCACGTGCCTTAAGTGTACCAAGTGTAAATGGTACTTGGAGGTGGGTTATTGGGGCAGCAGATCTAAGCACTAATAAAGAATGGGTCTGAAAACAAATCTGCCTTCCCAGGCTTGACCTTGCTTCTACCCCACTCCGGCCACCATTTTGTTTTCCTTGGGAATTGTCAGACTTGAGACTCCAATCCCCCCCCCCCAACTTTGAAGAGAGCTTCTCCCAAGGCCAGCTCCTTGTTTCTTAGGTTTCCCTCTGATGAAAGGGTGGAAAACCTTGTACCCAACGACTGCCCCTCACCTCCCAACCTGGGCAGAACCACAGCAGAGGGGAAGGCATATGGGGATCACTGGTCTCACAACTAGACTTGTCCGGCTGGTGCTTAACTCCTGCTTGGGTGGAGGGCTGCCATAGAGCTAGTGACTAATCTGGAATCCTAGGGAACCACTGAGGCACTGAGGACCACTTCTATCTGCCTGGGAGTCCCCAGGGCAGCAAACTGGACAAGTGGTCAGCCAGCCTCTGCCTGCAGCCCTCCCCCCAGAGACAGCACCATCCACTTTGGAAGAGCTGTCATCACCAAGGGTCTCTCCTGCCTCTCTGTAACTGGCCCCCTTCCCCACAGCACACACAGCTCCCATGTCTGGGGTTCCTCCAGCCTCCAGCCCACAGAAGGTAGCTATCCTGCCTCCCACCCTCCTCCCAGGCGTCTCCAGGATGGGCAGGCTCATGCCCTTCAGCTGAGCCTTCCATGACTCGGTGCCCTGCCCCCACTAACCAGGTCACCATTCTATAGATGCTGCAGCTAATTGCCTGGAGCTGGGCCAGTCCATGTGCCATCTATGGTCTGACCAGGGCAGCGGACAGCAGGACCACCATTTCCCTGGCTGCTTCCAAGGGCTCCCACATCCCACTGCCAGGAATGGTGCCTTTCTCCACTGAGCATGGGCCTTCAGAGAGATGGGGGGGTGAGGATGAGGGGGAGGTGGGAGGTATGGCAGAAGGAATAGCTCATTGAAGGAGAAGAAGACCCCCTTCCCGAGGGCAGGAGATGTGCCCACCCTTTGTGCCCCTGCTAGGGGCTGAGAGAAGCCAGAGGCTTTGCCCGATATCCCGGGGCCCTGCCTGGGCAGCAGTGTAGATGGCCCCTTCCACTCCCTGAGTGTGTGCTGATAAAGGGGCAAACCCGCACCCTGGCCCTGCTGCCCTCTCCACTTGGCCCAGCCCTCCTGGCTTCTCCCAATCCACAGCCCTGTACCCCAGGTGCCTTGATTGTCCTGTCTGTTAAAAGGAAAAGTGACCAACACATGCAGCTGAGAGGGAGAAGATTGACCTTGGGTACATTCCTTCCCCACTCTGGGCCTCAGTCTCTTTATCTGTGCAATGGGCAGATAGGAAGAGAGAGCTCTTGTACTTTCTGATGCTTCTATTCTGATTCCCAAGATATGATGAGGCATTAAAGAAGATTTGGGGTGGGGGTTGGAGTGAAGACATGTAGGACCTGTCTTCCAACATTTGAAGGCCTGTCCTGGGGGAGGAGCCAGCTTCTTCTGTTCATTCCCAGAAGGAGGGACCTCCTACCCAGAGGTCAGGAGAGGCCCTGGGGAGGGGTGAGCTTCTCCTCCTTGGGGGCCTCCAAGCAGCTCTCAGTTCTGGGGCTCACATCTGCGGTCGCCAGGTCGGCCAGCCCTCTCTTCTGAGAGGGAGAGGGCCTGGGAACAGGGAGGGCGGTGGTGATTCACTGAGACTCCTTCGGGGGTGTCCAGACAGTGGTGGGGGAAGGGAGGAGGCTGGTGCAGCCTGTTGCTGTTTTCAGACAACTTTTTGGACTTGGAAATTCCCTCAGTCAGGGCAGGCCAAAATAAACTAGCCTTTCCCAAGTGACACAGGGTGTGGCACCTCTGGGCAGCCATCTCCATCCAGGAAATGCCAGCCTGAATAAGCCTTCAGTGCCCTGGCAAGAACAGTATGCCCCCTGTGCCCAAGGTGCCTGCTGTCTTTCCAGGGGAGCACCAGGGCCGGGAGGGGGATTGGCAGCAGGGGGGCCCAGGAGATGGGGGGGCAGAAGGAGGGGTGGGATTTGGAGCAGTGGAGGGGGGCCATCAGCGGCAAAGATAAAGGGAGGAACACATTTAGGGGGACAAGCGTTCAGGGACAGTGAATTAAGCAGTCTGGCTAAGGCTTAGTTTTCTGCAAGGGAATGGGAGCAGGGGCGACTGGGATGAGGGGCTAATGTTATATTGGGAGGGTACACTCACTGTGAGGGGCCTTGCATCCCAGGCTAGGGAATCTGAATTTTAGTTTGTAGGCGGGAGGAGGAGGCAGCTTGGCTCCATGAGAAAGCCACTGGAGAGAGCCACTGGAGCCAAAGCCTCCTTTAATGCTTACTCCCTGTGTGACCTCTCCTGGGCCTCAGTTTTCTTATCTGTAAACTAGGGGGCTCAGCCCTAGACTGTGGACCCTTCGAGCCTAGGACATGAACCTTACCAGGGAAGAGGGCAGGAGGGGCCCATGGGCTTGACAGGCAAATGGGCAGGATTGGGGGTGAGTTAGATGTGGCCGTGGAGGGAGGAGGCACAGAAAGAGAGAAGGGGAGCAAAGCTGACCAGGAGCTCTGAAGCCTGAGTAGCTCTGCCAGCCAGGAGAAGCCACGGGAGGTGTGTTCCTTCACCAGATTCAGCTTCCTCCCTGGCCATCAGGTCCTCGGGCCCCAGCCGTGAGAGTCCTCAGGAGCCAAGGAGGCTCGGGGACCCCTTCAGCTGCAGAGCTTTCAGGGCTTAGGACACATGAAATCACAGATGGGAGCAGCCACTGATGGCTGCGTGGATGCCCATGGTGCCAATGAGCAGGAGGTGGCATATGGCTCCTGGTCAACTCCTGGGGCCCCAGAGCCTGACTGCAGGAAGGGTCCACTTTGGTTCCTTTTGGAAGACTATGCTGGGGAGTCTGCCCTCCATCACTACTACCCCACCTCAGGCTGCCAGAGACCCATGGCCATGGCTGAGCCATGTAGGGTAGGAGGGCATCAGGACAGGCAGCAGGGAGCCAGCCCCGGGTGGGGGTTGGGGGCCTCATGTGGTCTGCCTGTCTATGAATCAGGAGGTGATGGGCTTTATGGTGGAGCATGAGCACCCAGGACAGGGCAGGCTTGCAAGCTACCAGGTGCAGCTGCCTAACCACCTTCAGTCAGTCACAGTCACCAAAGCCGAAGATTACCTTTGAAAGGAGTCCCCTCAAGGACCAGCCTGGGGCTTGCCTGGTCCCAAGGTCAGCTCAGAGGGGAGTGGTCATGTGAAGCCAAGCTCCTTTTTATCAGGTCACACCCCGCCCCCAGCCTGAAGGAATTCCAGGAATTTTTGGAATTGGCCAGGCATGTGAGGCTATCCCTGAACCCCAATTTCCTGCTTTTTGAGTACTTTGTGGGGCTTGCTGGGGACATCCCGTCCTTGTCCCTCTGAGAAACCTACAGGCTAATGGCACCTTACTGGCTGCATTCCTGGGGATGGGCTAATTCTAGCCGAGGTCCAGGGTTCTGAGAGATAACGGCCCCTTTGGGATTTTGCTGACCTTATCATGGCGGGTCCATGTGGGGCAATGGGTGTGGACCAGTCGCAGGCCGTCCCCAGGCCTCTGATTAGGGCCTGTGTCCAGGGGATCCGCTTCACAGATCTGTGGTTCTCAGAGTGCAGCCCCTGTCTGGCTTAGCTGATGGTTCTGAAGACCGCCACTGTGGCCATGCGTTTCCTGGACATATCTGTCAGACTGCTTCTGGATCAGTTGTCCCTCATGCTTCTATCTCCCTATTGCCTCTTGAGCCGCCCACCATTCAGGGTCTTCAGGGGTTGGGGTGTTCCATAGAACGTCACTAGAGCACAGTGCCTGACTCATAAATGCTTTCTCATGCATTCATTTATCGCTGGGGGAATCGTGGGGGAAGGAATATGAGTCTGTGGGCAGGGCAGAGCTTGGGGGTTGTGAAAGCCCTGCACAGTTTCCCTCCACAGTTGTGGAGTCCAGCCTCCTGCTCAATTCTCCCCAAGACACACAAAGCAATGGACTGCCCATTGAGGCACCTGTCATCACGAAGGCCATTCAGGTCTGGTCACCTACAGTGTGTAATACCCTGCGTGCCTGGTGCTGGGGACATTGAGAGAAAAAAAGAAACAGGTTCCTCCTCAAGGAGTCTCTCTTCTATGGGCATGGTCCCTTCCCTGACTGATACGTGATGTTCACATTGTTCCCCAAAGAGTTCAAAGACACAGAGGTCTGCAGTCCAGAGTTGTGAGGTGCCCCAGGCATGTGGGTTTCCCTCAATCAATCAATAAATATCTATTAAGTACCTACTATGTGTCAGACACTGTGCCAATCACTAGGTTTCTGTAAGTTTGTGTTCACTATACCCCGTGGACACTATGTGCATTGGTGGAATGATATGACATGTATGCCACAGGTACTCAAGTAAGCTAATATAAAACATGTAAAGACAATGTGATTTCTGAATGGGGAGCACTAATGACCAGGGTGATTAGAAAATTCCTTGATTATAAGACAGGCCTATGATCCCTGAAGGAAGCTAGAGATCAGACAGAAGTGAGGCAAGCGAGCCTCCCTGGTATGGGGAAAGGAGGGAGTCTACTAGGAACAGGGAGCAGGTCAATATAGATGGACCACGGAGTGCACGCAGGTGAGTGAAATACGTAAGGTGCGTTCTGCCCCCTCTCTTTGCCACTGGAAGGATCAGGAACAGGCATTTGTGTGAGGAGTGCAAAGAAATGAAGCTTCAGGAGAGGCACCGGCAGTTCTGAGAGGAACAGAGTGAAAGCAACCCCTTCTCAGCCCAGGCGCTGAAAGACTGTAGTCAGCTGGTGCTTTCCAAAAGCTAATGTGCTTCTTTTTTTTTTTTTGTCTTCCTTTTTAGGCAGTTGGGGTTAACTGACTTGCCCAGGGTCACACAGCTAGTAAGTGTCAAGTGATTGATTTGAGGCCGGATTTGAACTTAAGTCCTCCTGACGTCAGGGCGGGTGCTCTATCCACTGCCCCACCTAGCTGCGCCTAA